AGGTTTTCTTAATGTGGATCTATATATTTTTAATAATTTTGATTTAATAATATTATACCTTAATTATAAAAATTCTACCTAACAACTTTAGTATTACATGGCATACAATAATTACCATAAATAATATTATATAATTGACAATTTGTATTAGGCAATAAAAATTAATAATTAATAATTATGAACATGGTGTTGTGAACATAATTATGAACATATAATTATGTAATTATGAATATAGAGATTTGTTGGTCCCGATAGAATGTAAAGAGAGTCTAGAAGGGGGTGGGGGGGGGGGGGGGGGGGGGGAGGTGAATAGACTCTTTCCGTGAAATGCCCTAAAAGTCACATTTCGGTGTTTTGGCGCAGCGGAAGAGATAGATTCGTTTTAAATACTTTGCACGAGTTTGCGTAATTAAGGAAACTTTCGGTAATGGTGATAAAAGGGATGATGCGAATGCAGAAAAGAAAATCGTAAGTAAAGAGATAGAAGGGACACGAGATTTTATAGTGGTTCGGCCAAACGTTGCCTACTCCACTCTTCTTCCACAACTGATGGAAGGATTGCACTATCACTCTTAGTACAATTACACAAAGACTTCCTTGATCACTAAGCCGGACAGCCTTCGTAGGTTTTTCAACTTCTCGAGTTTACTCCGCCTCTATCAACTTCTTCTCCTGAGTTGAGGTTGGTAGAAAATAATTTCTTGAATTCTCCAACGATGAAGTCTTGACTTTGAGATAAGATTGCTTTGAACAAATGGCAAGACTTCTTTTGAGGTGTAAGAAAGAGATCAATAACCTTCTTCAAGTAACTTAGCACCTCAATACTAGTTCACAAAAGCTTTTAGTAAATTGAGAGCGTTCAAGAGCTTTTGCAAGTTAATGAGTCGAGTGATAATGAACCAGCACCTTCTTAGTTGATGAAGGTGGGTTTATATAGGTGATGAAAATTCATCCGTTGGAGGGAGATGAACTTTTCGAACCTTTTAACCATTGGACAAGGACCGGGGAGCTTCATGCATTAAATGCTCCATTAATGAGGTTGTACCATGTAGCCGTTGAAGGTATGGAAAGCATTTGGTTTTGTCCTTTAGCTTCAGGAGATGGTACATCTTCATTTAATGCTCCTTGAAAAGTGTGCCCCATAAGATGAAATCCTTATTGTCCTAGGATGTTGTCAAATCAGACAGGTAGGACATTCTTCTCGTTGTTGAAGAGAAGTAATGTTTGATAAAGATTGTCTTTTAACAAAACTGTTCTTTCGTGCTAGTTGACAACTCCTGCTTGTCTTTCGTTGCTGTTCTTCGTGTCTTCTTTCGCCTTGTAGATCCTAACATCTAGTCATAACTTATTTTCGTGTGTTTGTCTAGCTTAACACGAATTACAGAGGAGTTATGGCAACTCTCGTCTAGGACGAAAGCAGCGATTGAAAAAGCTAATAGTTAGGGGTCTACTTTTCTACATTACATTGGTATCATCAAAATCCTAATACAATGTTCCTAACAATTTCCCCCTTTTTGATGATGCCAAAACCTATACTCTTCTTATAAGGCTGATAAAAATTTCCATAAGGATTTTCTATTGTAAAAACAGCCATTACTTGAGAGTTTACAAGTCTTTTTCTAGATAAAAGCGTTAATAAGAAAGACAAGGACAAATAACTCAGACAAGTGACACGAGATGTGTGACAATGAGAGTTTCATATATAAAGATGTGATCATTACAAAAACTTTATGAAAGAAACAGAACGAAAGTGAACTTACATTTCTAAGAGTTTTGATTTCTGTTGTTCAGCTTCCTTGAGTTCTTGGTCATCCCTTTCCTTTTGTTGCTTTAGCATCCTGTTGAAGTCTATTTTCTCATTTATTTTTGCTCTGAAGACTTTAATTGGATTAGACTTGACAAACTCTTCATGTTCTCCTTTGATATTCAGGCCTGTGTAATTGTTATAGGCTTCTCGAATGTTGCTTCCTTCAACAATTCCAGACTTCCACCACGAAATCAGTTCAAACGAATTCATGCCTTCTTGATAGCTTTTTCCAGACTCTTTATGCACTTACTTTGCAAATATAATAACATCCCCGAATAAACACGTATTCAACCAAAAGTCACACTTATGTAAAATCTGTAAAACATGCAATGTCAAATATATGATAATTGCTTGTTACTTATGACATAAATTATAATACTTATTACACAAAATTAATATTTCGTACTAATTTAAAATAAATAAGTTGTTACTTATTATTATTGATATTGTAATATATATATATATATATATATATATATATATATATATATATATATATATATATATATATATATATATATATAAATATATATATATATAGAGAGAGAGAGAGAGAGAGATAGGGTAGGGTTCCAATGAGAACACTTGCTTAGGTGAGAACGCGAGAACAAATCGTATGCATCCATCTAATATTTTTAATGGTCTAGATTAGATTAAATGTGTGCGAACGCGAATTAAATGTGTGCAAACACACTTAATCGCGTTTGCACACATTTAATTCGCGTTCACACACACTTAATCTAATCTAGACCATTAAAAAATATTAGATGGAGGCACACGATTTGTTCTCACGTTTTCACCTAAGCAAGTGTTCTCATATGATCATATATATATATATATATATATATATATATATATATATATATATATATATATATATATATATATATATATATATATATATAGTGAAAGGTTCCCGTGCGGATGAATGCTTCCCATGCGGATGTGCGGTGGATTAATGTGCGTGAGATTTGTACTCAATGTGCGTGAGTGTTGTGCTTAATGTGTCTGAGATTTGTACTTAATGTGCGTGAATGTGTAAAATGCAGCAGAAAATATTGATGTCAGCTTCTTCCCCATCCCCAGTAGCCATTGCCCCCTCCCTGATGATGATGATGCGGAGGCGGGCTATGGTGGTTAAGAATTATGGGAATAATACAACAGAAATCCACACTTAGCTGCTGTGCAAATTTTACTGTGCGTGCGTCATCTATATAAACATTCAACTGCACTGAGGGTAGCTGATAATCCAGAACCCATGGCCAAATTGAAGGAAGAAGTAACAAGAAGCTTGAGCGTTAATGTGCGTGAGTTTCTGTTCTGCTTCCTTCTGAGCTCGTAATTATGAAATACTCACGCATATTAAGCACAAATCTCACCCACATTAAACACAATACTCAGGCACATTAAGTACAAAACTCACGCATATTAATATGACGCACATTAAGTACAAATCTCAGGCAAATTAATCCACCGCACATCCGCACGGGAAGC